CGTCGCCGCCCCCCGCCCCCCAACCCCTCACCCAGCCCCAGTGGAAAAATAGCCTGGTGTGATTTGGAAAACACAGAGAATGGCATTGCAATTTTAGTCTCTTTCAGCTGTGAAGCTACATGATACAAAATGTTTGCCTCTGCTCTTTTATCACGGCCAGCAGCTGCCTCCTTTCATCCTCAGGATTTATTCAGTACTGAAAGCAGCATAAACAAATGTATCTTTTTATGGAGCTCTTGGTACTTCAGATTGGTGGCATTTTTGTCTTTAGGCAAGGGTGGCCTCTAGAAATAGTCTTTACCTCACTATGACCCACTAAGCATTGAATTGGTTCAGTAAATCTTTTAGCCGATAAGCATAATGTTTTAACCTACTATCTCCTGAGGACCCATTACGCGGACAGCTGAAGAAAAGGCTGAACTTATACAGCCCATTTATACCATCCTATCTGCTGATTGAGTTTGTATCAGTTTGCAGTGGGCCTGATTGTACCACGCAACACAACAGCTATGGAATGAAGTGGGAGGAGAACAGAAACAGAGACTGTTCTGGACAAATCCACCACTGAAGTATGCTGCGGGGCGCAATTGTAAATGGTCACTCGTTAAAATGCATGTTGGAACCTCGTAAAACCAGTCATTCTGTAAATCGAAGAGACCTGCAGCGATTGCAGTGTATTCTGGAAATGAATGGAAAATGTATGGCTTGGAAAGCACTTAAAACATAATTAGCAATTTCACAACAAATTCAGAGACGTGTCACTATTCCTCAGCTTGATAATGACATTTTAAAGGCTGACCTGGAGCACAAGGTAAATGCTCACTGCGCCAAAGTGAAGCTACTTTAATAGTGATTTTGAATTGCGCTGCTCCACCGTATAACCTGTAGCCTACCTTGATGAGTTTGCACCTGATCTGCGCAGAAACCATATGGCTGTTCCGCAGGTTCCCCACTCGGAACATGAGGCACAACTTCCCGTCCCGCTGCGAAATGACCGCGTCCTGACTGAACATAAGCGTCTCCGCGCGCTTCTTCGGTTGCGACATTTTTATGAACATGCAGCCGATAAGGAAAGCGTCCACGATGGATCCCAGCAGCGACTGGAAGAGAAAGAGGATAATACCCTCCGGACACTTCTCCGTGATGTAGCGATAGCCGTAGCCGATGGTCGCCTCAGTCTCGATGAAAAACAGGAACGCGGAGGGAAAGTTGTACACGTTGGCGACGCACGGGGTATAGGACGATTCGTGGCCGCCGTGACTCAGGTCGCCGCGGATGTAGGCGATCACCCACCACATTGAAGCCATAACCAGCCATGCAACTGTGTAAGTGAGAATGAAGATGAGTAGGTTCCAGCGCCACTTGAGATCCACTAGGGTGGTGAAGAGGTCGGAGATGTACCTGCTGGTCTCCCCGCCAAGGTTACCATGCTGGACATTGCACCGGCCGTTCTTCTCCACAAAGCGCTGCCTCTTTTTCTTCACCGGTGCGGAAAAAGTCATACCCCGACTGGTGTTTACCACCTGATAGTCCTCTCCAAATTTCCTCCGTATGGCCGACATTGTATCACTCACCTTCTAGTAACAAGCATTCAATATTTTTGCAGAATGGAGCTCTTTACGCAAGTTCGGTATCCCCTGCCCAGAACTATGTAGTAACATTCAGCGCTCGACGCGCATCCTGTGAGATGGAGATGCGCCTTTCTCCTGTAAATTAATCGTAAGTGAGCAGAGATTCTGCGCAATACATGATTCGGAGTTGGTCCTTTACGCATAGGAGTCTCCTGCAAGTGCCAAGTTTTTGTTCAGATCTTATCCATGCATTAAAAACATATTCAAAATTGCATCATAAGAAAAGCTGTATTAAAACGGATTTAAAGGCTTTATCTTTGGTACATCCACTGGGGTGTTGCTATTCAATAAAGCTTCAGTGAATAGTAGGCTACAATACGCACTTCTGCCAGAGGGAACACGTTCTGGTAGGAGCAATTTCTTTTCTTAGCTTGTTCTCAATCAGATAAAGGCATCAGAGCGAGGAAATGAAAGATCATAACAGCGACATCAACCGTGGCCAATAATTTTGTCCTTACATTTTTTTTAACACATGACATATTTGTTTCCTGTTGCCTAATTACATCTACTGTATCTTGAGAAAATCGCTATACTATAAAATTGGTTAAGTGGTGGTGATTGGCAGCTATTTGGTTCCCCCTAGTGTTACTGCAGTGGAAGTAAACATGGGCAGTGCCACTATCTTTAGGTGAAATGCGCAGGACAATACCAACATTTAAAAGTTCCAGTTTTGGACAGATGGTGGACAGAAATGTGTCAATAAAGTTGCACATGCAGATGAAAATTGAAAAGGTTAGCTATTATATCCTAAGCATTCTTCACAGCAGTAATAAGTTATGACTTATCTGTTGTCAAAGCTATTACCACAACTGACATAAGGAATCATTGCTGTAATCTTCTATGGCTGAGTGCATCTCTATTGAGCGCAGTGATGTGATCAACACCATATCTGTTGTGTGTATTTTTTCAATAAACCATTTGTAACATTGTATAATAGCTCTGTGAAAGCAGCGGCAGCAGTCTCAGGAGGACTATCAGGCTGGAATGCATGAAGTAATTTGCAACATTGTGATTTTCTCTGCCCTTACTTCACCACTGTTGATGTGTCATTTCAGTCTCCCAAACATTTACCTTACTGTTATAATGAACTGCATGAGTCTGATAGGGAGCACAGAAAGAAGAAAACATTTTGTTGGACTTAAGCCCATTTATTTTGTTTATTCCACAGGGACAAACACAACTAAATATCATCAGACTCAGTGAATCGATGCAGTGCATATGGGGTGTCTAGCTAAGAGCTCATCTGCAGCAGCCATCCCTGGTTATGCTTTTAGAAAACAGGTTCAAACCTCCAAGCAGGAAATGAAGTGTTCCATACTGTGAGTTGTTCAGCATTAGGTGTATATGCAAAATGGATGACAATGACAACAATATGGTAAAACACCTTTAATGGTGGAAGTTTCTGTATTTGGACATAATGATAATTATTTTGGTATGAACAGAAGACAGGATATGGAAATTGAAATGATCTCTTCCCCCCTCATAACACCCACACAGCAAAAACAGAAACATATAAACTTCACAAAGATAAAGATACACAGGGCTGTTGTATTTGACTGTATGAGATTGTTCAACTTGCTTACAAATGGGTAAGTCAGTGAAGAGTTAAACAGAGAATGGCTCTTCAGCTATACACTAAAAAGTGTATGCTGCACAGTGGAAGGTACAACTAATTAAAGTTTGTTTTGTTATACCAGAACATTTATTTTATTTATTCATTCTGTTAATAATTAAAGATGTGCTATAGAATCACTGTTTTTGCTGTTTCCCCTTGACTCTGTGTGCACAGAAATATGGTAAATTTGCTGTGAACTGCAGAGAAAAAAAAACCCCAAACTGCCTTATTTTACTCTGATGCTTACTGATGTTAAATGAAAAACACATCAGTTGAAAAAGAAAACGGTCTCAAGAATCTTTACACAAGCATTAAATAAAACTGTTCCACTCAACCACAAAAAGTACTTAAAGGAAATTCTCACACCAACAGAATATATCTATTCAATTAAAGGAATAACCTTTAAAAAGTTCTGTGAAGACAGAATCACATCTAACCACTACAATAAGGTAATAAATCAGTGTCAAGGTCTGTACTTCATGATGGATTTTGCTACAGCCAGATTAACCAGATTAGTAGCAGGCAGTGTACTTCTGCAGTTTCTATTTAAATATAAGAGCTAAGGACTTTTAAACTATACATTTGTCCATCATCACATTGGTAGAGGAAGTTATACATCAAATTAAAATTCAAGAAAACGAACCCTCATTTTACACTATTAAAGATACAAAAACTAAATCTGGCACAGCCCCCTACTTTAGTTGCGCACAATTCTTATTAAATTTACAGTTCATTAAATAACCACAAGACACATTTGGACTATACTGTATGGTGTGGTAATGTGTCTACCTTTTTTTGTGTTTACCGTCAAAGGGATCCCTTGTGCTGTTCCGTGAGGAACTCAAACCTCTGTAGCCTTTGCCTGTCTCCTCTCACGACCCGTCCACTACACCCATAATTCCCCGCGCCAGGACAAGATGGAAGAAGGTAGTGGCCGCCGGAGAACAATGTTTTGGCAATAAAATCCCAAAGTGGTGAATACGGAGAGAATATAGGCACGTTTGAAACCAACTGCGGTCATGTGTGGGTGAGTGGGAAACTAGATGGACTTTTGGTCGTGGCGAATGCCTTAGTTTTGTTTAGATTTGCGCGACGGAATTGTCTGGCTCGACGCAAACGGGAGACGCAGACCCAGCATCATTGTTTCTATTGCATGGGCCGTAATGCGGGTTTTCAGTCGGGGCAGCTAGCAGCTAACTAGCTAGCTCGTGGCAGGTTGATTAGTATAGAGAGAGCTGTCTCAAAATAAACTGTTCTGTTTAACTCAATCATTGTTATTTATCTTAAGAGCCAAAGAATGTTGTGGTAGCCAAACGTATTGGAAAGCATTATCCGGTAGAGCTAAAGTTAGCTATCAATAAATAGAGCGCCAGCTTTGCTCGCAGCCAGACAGATTTAATTTCACGAGCGTCATCAAAGCTCGGTAATTGGAGAATGAGCACTACGTGTTCTGCTGACCCATCTTTAAAGCAGTGTTGTTGCTGTTGAATTCCATTGTATTGACTGTTATTATACTTTTTTGTCAAGTGAATTAATGGGATTTGATTTTACGACGCTACCCCAATAGTATCTCCGTTTAAATAGCCACTATATACGCTGATAATATCAAATCATGGATCCCGTTTTAGCGTTAGCTAGCTTGATAGCAACCCTAGGTAATAGGCTAAACGCTACATCCGTTATAATAGATCAAATTACAAGTTACTGACTACAGATACGGTTTATTTTAGACCACATAGTTTTAAGTGTTAACGTGGCTTTATTTGAATGGCTGATTTTGATTTGAAGGACGTCTTATACGATTGTTTTTATTGAAGGCGTAAAGATGCGTTGATTGTCTCATTGTGGCTAGCCGACTAGCTAACTATGCTAACTAGCTGGCTAACTATTATGCACCACAAAAGCTCATCCGCTTTCTGCTGAATTCAGTGTCAAGTAGCCAAATGTCGGCTGGTCTAGACTAAACAATAAATTCTTACTCCAGTCATTCTGCGTTCGTTTCGACGCACGTAGCACTTTTAGCCACCCGACTTCGCCTGCCTAAAATCATTAAAATGTCGAACTGGATTTGACCTAAATATCGCTTGTTTTAGGCAAGTGAAGTGAACCGAGTAATTTGCCAGTATTCCGACCAGTGCTCCAGCTTTTGCTCTTGTTTTATTAGTCAAAGATGGAAAGTGGCGTTTCCGACTTGCATCAAAGTTTGAAAACAATAGGGGTATACAAAATAGCAAACTCGAGCACAGATTTTTATTTTGGTTAAATTCCATGTCACATGATGGTGAGATAAGTAAATAGAACCATGGGAGATGTTTAATAAAGAGGTCATCTTGACCTTTTTAATTTCTTGTATAGAACAGCATTTACAAAACTTTTAAGTGCAGAAAACTTGTATTTATACGGAGTGGAGCTTTACCATTTTTACCTTAGGTTCATCAAAGATTCATACAACATAGATCATAAATATTATTCAGCCTTAATGTATGTTGGTTTGGTTTGGGCGGGCGGGGACTTGAAGCAAGCTGTTTCAAAAGACTTTAGAGATGCCCGTAATTACCAGTGTTGGAGAGTAGTAAACTACATGTAATTAAAGTAGTTGTTTAACTACATTTTGCAGTAGCTTGCTGATTGCAAATATGAAACAAGTTTTACTAAGTGAGTGAAGTAGCTAAATTACTTTTTTTTTTGCCTTTTTTTGTCTAGTTAGCTACTGAAACTACAGTACAACAGTACTACAAACAACAGTTTGAGGTCATAAAAGGAAAGGAATGATTTTTTTTATTATTATTTTTATTTTACCATGCTGAATATGAGTGGTGTTTTAGATTTGGCAAGGACATTTTCAGCGCAGAACAGAACCGTCTGTACAAGTCAAATGGTACAAATCTGACAAATCAATCGTTTTTCTATTTAGGTCTCAGGTAATGAACTCAACTGCCTGACTTGTTTTTTTGTTGTTGGTTTTTTTTTTTTGTTTGTTTTTTGCCAGCATGTGACTTTTGTTGGAATTTAGTATTACATTTACATTGTCAGGTTAAGTTTTTTTTTTTTTTTTTTTAAACAAATTAGTTTGAACTACTGTTTCTGAGTAGCTTTAGTTAACCATACCAGTTACCTGCAGTAACTTTGTCATTGTTAAACTTTGTCCAGAGTAAAGTAATTAATAACTTGCAAAGCTATGCTTTTGAAGTAGCTTCTCAACCCTGGTAATTACCTTGATTTTTGTAACTAATATGTACAGTATATTGAATGTTTTTGTTTTCTAAATACATAAAGAGCAATATGCTATTAACAGCAAAGTATTCATTAAGGTTTCTGGTTACTATACCCAGGTTTTCCTTTAGATAAGACCTAATAAATCTAAGTAATTAATGGGGAACTGAGAGGAAATTCAGAGATCACAATAATATACAGCGTATACAATATGAAGGCCACGTAGCTGTTGTAAAACTACTTGACTGGCAAGACTTAAAAGAGATGGTGTTATAATAAAGAGATGTGGCAAGTGTATGTCTATAATTATCAATACTTAGTATTTTTTATCTTCTCTCTCTTTCAGGATATTTTCTTCCTGCATTCCTCTTTAGATTTATTGCCCTCCTTCTACCTTGCACAAAAAACCACCATGAGTATTATCCAGGACAAACTAGGCAATGAATTTTTGCGCAACGGCGGCATGGACCCCAATTTTGCATCAGGTATGCTTATGTTCAGCCACCTACCGCCTGTCACCAGCTTTACACGGTTGGCCTCCCAATCCGTTATAGGTGAGATTCCCCAGGAGATGATCCTGAAGAAAGAACGTGACTCGCCGCCAGAACACCAGGGCGCTACTCCTGTGAACACAGGGGGCTTCCTCCACAGCATGGGCATTAAGCAGGAGCGGCTAACTGAGCTGGATTACCGTATGCCGCTTTATGGTGGAGGAGTAGGAGTAGGAATGAACTGTGCTGGAGGGGGCGCGGGGAAAAGTGGCAATGACATGCCGGACATGTCTTTCGGCAGCCACCACCAGAATCATCAGAACATGCTTCTGCATGACCTCAGCCTCAGCAACGTTCGTTCCCTTGGGGAACAGGTGAGAAGGGGTTGTTCTAAATATTGTTTCAAGTGACATACTCTTTAGCTTGATTCATTTGCCAGTTTGCCTTTGTTTCTGCTTAGTTTTCCCCCTTACTGTTTTGCCAGGGATTGTAATACCTAGGGTTTTTTTTTTTTTAAGAGACCGTTGTTTACTCTTAGTGTTATGGTTGCTCCCTCTGTCATCTATCGAGTCTGTCATACTTACTCTGCCATTTGTCCTTAGATGCCTGGAAGACCAGACAAGGAGCCAAGAGAGTCCTCGGGTAGAAGAAGGCGAAGGAGCAATGGGGATGGACAGGGGGGCAAAGCTCGAAGGAAACGCAGCGATGCTGCAAAGGTTAATCCCTTTTCTGTTTTCCTGCTCTCATTCATTACAGTAGAAAAATGTGTTTGGTTGAAAAATAGCTGCACATGCACGTGCTTTCAAATTAGTATCAACTGTGCTTACATGACTCACCGGAATTTTACTTGTACTCTTGTACCAGCACTGTACTCATGTTTCTTTTTTCCCCACATAGGCCATGATGTTGGATGCAGATGGAGCCTGCCTGTCCCCCAACTCAAAACCACATATCTGTGAGCACTGTAACGCTGCCTTCCGCAGCTCCTACCACTTACGTAGACATGTGCTCATACACACAGGTGAGAGATGTTTGTTGCTTGTTGGTGATCCACTTTTTCTTTTAGACTGTCAGTATTTTCCTAGAACTAGGCTAATACTTAAAATAGGTTTTAACCAGCCATGTCCACTACTCATTTCACCAAATGCACCATTGTTTTCATTGATTACACACAAGACGTGTCAAGTCAGAATCAGAACTGATGCAGCTAAGTGAGGCAATGTCAGACTGTAATGCAGCTGACAAATGTTGATTAAAGGTAGGGTTGGGGATTCCTTTCAGAAGCATTTTTTGTTACGTTTCTTGAATTTCTCTTTTCTTCCCAATGGCACTGAATACTTTAAATGCTGTGACAACATAAAGAAAAAAAAATCCATCATCTGTGGCAGCAGCAGGACTGAAAAACATTGACTAATAATTGTACTTGTCTCAGACAAAACCATTGGATGGCCTACCTGTCTGTCAGCCTGCTTCCTACTTGCACGCAGTCTGCCCTTGCACTCAATGTGCTAACCAAGAGTCTTCTACAAGGCATTGTAGGCAGATGTGTTACTGCTCTGTTTTGATAGCTAATGCTAGTGAGCTGTGGCAGAGAAGGAACCCACAGCAGCTTTTGTTCGCAAATAGAGATTGTTGTCACAGGCCAGGCCTTCCCCTTTAAGACGTACAGTCTTGTCGGTAATGTTGTTGCCACAAGTTGCTGTCTGCCTGCAGTGTGCACAGTATGAGAGTGAGAAGACACATGGAACAGACTCCTTTTACATGCAGCCAGACAGTAGTCAGCTCTTAAGTGTATAGACTGGATTGTAATGCAGGTAACTGGCGTCAGCGGCCACATGCATATCTTGTGTTACCAAGATGGAATAAAACCTGTTTTGCGCGGAGTTAGCTGGCCTCCCTCTACACTTCTCCTGCCTGGAAAAGCTCGGACGTCTAAGGCTAGTTACGGGCTACAAGCCAAGGCTAAAGCAGCTTAGCTATGAACCAGAGGTAAGAAAGTATCCAACTAAAAAGAAGTTGGATGCTGCAAAAAGTAAAACAAGAATTAACATTGGTGTGTCTTTTTTGAATGATGGCGACAACTGAGAATATAAAGAAGCTGAAAAGTGATGCCATGGTAGCAGGTAGCCGTATTTCTGCTGGACAGGTAATTATTGGATTTGTTTTGTTTGAGGAGCATTTGTTGTCAAGCAGTGTGCGCTGCAGTTTGTGTTGTGTTTGGGAGTAGTTTTGGAGAGAAGACAGACCAAAGGGGTGAGATTTCTTTGGTTGTCTACTTTTAAAATCGAACCTGCTCTTGCTGGTTTTTCTAGATTCACCAACTCTACCTTTAAATATACAGCCCCATATCCATTTGCATGGATTGTGAAAGTGGAGATAATGCTACGTTACCAAAGTTTAACAAAGGAAATGTAAAATAAGATTTTCCAGTAGTGATGGTATACTAACAAAACCAGTGTCAGACTACAAATAAACTGCTGTCTGCAAAATAGTCCACTCTTTCTAAACCCCTTCACCATCTTATTTAAAACCAGACTGTCACTAAAGCTATGGCTGACTCAGGGGTTACTCATGTATTTCTGGACATGTTAGTCATTCTCTTTGCTGGGAATTCTCCTTTAACCTTTTGTGTGTGTGTGTGTGTGTGTGTGCGCGCATCTCAGTGTACTTTAAATACTTTACCTTTCTTTTAACTTTATCTGACAAAAGCACTCTAGAGTATTGGCATATCAGAATTTAGGCTTGGGAAATGGAAGGTATTTTTCTATAACGTGATCTTGTGCTGGTGTAAATGCACAATGTAGTATACAGTTTCTTCACTGCATCTGCTAAAATATTTCTAGTGTGTTGATTGTTTTATTTTGATGTGTACACATGCCCCAGGTTTTGTATAAAACACCACAGGTTCTTGTCATTGACCATATAGTGACTACAGTTATGTGACCTGCTGTGCATTTATTAATGCGGTGAGAGGATTGTTGTACTTTTGATCGCACAGGTGAGAGGCCTTTCCGGTGCAGTCAGTGTAACATGAGCTTCATTCAAAAGTACCTGCTTCAGCGGCATGAGAAGATCCACAGTGGTGAGTTTCTGCAGTTGGATCATAGGCTGTGGACAACATCACAGCTCCCAGAAGTGATGCCACTGCCAGCTGATCGCCCCTTGGGTGCAGTCTAGGTCGTAAAACCCGCCCACTCCATGGTAGCGGATGGGAGATGAGCCAAACTGAAAATTCAAAGTACAAATCAAATAAATGTTCTTTTGTGTGTACATGTGATTTCTGACAAGTTTTTTTTTTTTTTTTTTTACATAAGTTATTTGGTCATGTAAAAAGGGGTGTATTTCAGTTGATTTGACAGCTTTTTTTTTGGCGGCCTCATACTGCTCCCCTTCACAGTCCCTACTGCACAGCATCTGGTAGCAAAATGCCAAGATGGCAGCTGCCATATTCACAGTATTTTGGCTTCACTTTTATATAGTGGTGACACTTGATCCATTTTATATAGAGTCTGTGGGTTGGATATATAGTACACTGAAGTGTTTTGGAACAAATGCCTTCGCTTGTCAACCATATCAGCTTCTTGAAACTATGGGAGTGATTCACTAGCACTGTCACTGCTGTCTTTTGCAGGAGAGAAGCCTTTTAGCTGTGACCAGTGTAACATGCGCTTTATCCAGAAGTACCATATGGAGCGGCACAAAAGGACTCACAGTGGCGAGAAGCCATATCGCTGCGATACCTGCCAACAAGTAGGCAACATTAAGTCTGCTAAATAACTTCCCATTCTTTTTGCCTTTGTTTTATATATTTTTCCTGTTTGTTTTATATGTACCTTGAATGCTTTTAAATGATCCTTTGACTAGTGTGACGTGTATTATTGTCATTAGTATGTAACCTTTCCTAAATTTTGTTTTTCTGTACTTCCTACACTTGAAGCCTTTACAAAGGCCTGTCACAGTGGAATTAGTTGTATGAAAAGGTCACGTAATGTAACATTTTGTTATGGGGTTCTGTGATCATGTAACCTAGTTACTTAATCTCTGCAGTGTGTGAAATTAAAAAAATAGATTTTAAAACAATTTCTGGTCATCAAATGGAAAGCTTATATTTCTCTGTCATCCCTTTTGTCCACTTTCAGTTTTTCTCAAGAACAGACCGGTTACTGAAGCACAAACGAACATGTGGAGAAGCCATAAAGAAGGGCCTAGACCCAAGCATGCTGGAGCTCAGCGAAGCAGAGATAGGCCAGGGCAGCTATTCACTTACTCAGGGAAACTCTACCACCTCTGGACGTAGGAGGGCCAAGTCCAAAAATGGTGAGGGCGGTGAGCGCAAGAGGAAGAAGAATGCCTCAGCATCAGTGGCTGCACCCTCATCCTCTGGGGGAATGGCTCGTGACCTTGGCCTGCAGGACTTCAGCATGGAGCACCCCTCGGGCTCTGGTACAATGCAGGGACGTACTCCCAAATTGGTCTTTAAAAAAGCTGGCCGCAAGAGCCTGGACAAGGGCCTCCTCTCTCTGGAAGACGGTGCTGACCGACAAAAATTGTTGGGTCAGAAGCCTGATTCCATGGAACATGTGGATGGTTCTGGCCTTGACAGCATGGGTCTATTGCAGGGAGCCGGGGACAGCAAGCAGGGGCCTACCACCAGCAGCAACTATGATGATGCAATGCAGTTTGTGAAAAAGCGGCGCTACCTCCATGCAGTTAACAGTGACTATGGAGCTGGCTCCCTGCACATGGCTTCCCAGGGCAGTGGTGTAATCCAGGGTTCCCTGGGGCCTGAACCCACACTGGCCATGCTGGACTCCTCGCCTTTGGAGCTTAAGCACGACAAGTCTGGCATTCCAGATGAGGTACTGCAAAGCTTGCTAGACCATTATAGCCATAAGCCAGAGGGGGGACACCACCATGATGTGACGTTTGACCTGTCAGACCACCCACACCACGTAGACCTCCAACCAGCAGCCCCGGTCACCCCTGAGCTGGAGGATGACTCAGCCAACGGTGCTGATAAGACAGCAGTGATGAGTGAGTACTCAAAGTTTCTCCTACAGGCCCTGGAGCGCACCAGCCATAGTGGACCCTTCCCCAGCCTCGGCCCAACGGGGCCTTTCCCGCTCCTGTCCAGCAGCTCCAGTCCCACAGGGCCCCTGTTCTCTGACAAGCACGTGTACACCACATCCCCACTGGACTGTGGCTACCCACCTGCTGTTTCCTCCCCACTGCCCATCGCCGCCTCTTCATCAACCTCCTCCTCGTCCTCCTCCAAGTCCCACTATGGCATGCTTGTTGGCTCCCCTTCCCAGGCCGGCTTCCACCTCAGCTTGGAATCTACCAGCCACCAGCAGCTGACTCCATCTCAGGAGCTGACTGAGCAGTTGGAGAAACAGCATTCCCCTGGCACCTTCAACCTACCTCCCCAGGACCTGACTGCCCCAACAGAGGGCTCTAAGGGGCAGCAACCCAAGGCTGGAGGGAGCACTGCACCTACCAATGGCTCCAGCTACCCAGACCTGTCCCCTTTGAACACCCCTAAAGAAACCACATACCAGATTGAGAACTTTGCCCAGGCCTTTGGCTCCCAGTTCAAGTCTGGGCGGCGGACCCCTCTGAGCTATGGCAGTGATGCTGGGGCAGAGGTCGACCACCGAATAAGGACTCCAGTGTCAGAATTCTCAGGGTATACCAGTTTGTTAGCTGATGTCAGTGAGCCAGTGAGTACAGGATCAAAAACCCCAACAAGCCAAAGTTTCAGATGAGGGTCAAACAAGGTGAATCCAGTAGGGGACTGTTCTGTTACTGTCCATACAGTCCCTACACACATCCTAATTTTGTTCTTGTAGCAACTTTTTTTAAAACACTGCCATAAAATGTTAATACAAACATGACCAGGGAGAGTCTTCCATGGCCTCAAATGCAATTTTTAAATATTCTCATTTTTAATTATGTATTCAGTCGCAAACTTTTGGTTAAAAGTAGTGAGTGTACCATAGATTAAATGTAATTTAAAACATTTAGAGGGTAGCTAGGAACTTGCTTGATTTTGTTTTTCTGAACTGTATTTTACCAATCATACCATTGTAAAGTAATAATGAATAATGTTTGATAATTTCAATAATGACATTTGTGGCAGGGAAAGGCCCAAATTCAAATGGCAAAAAATATATATTGTCTGTTACAAGAAACGTATTAACTCAGGAAAATAGGCAAAATTGTGTAATAAGACTTTGTATTATGAGATGCAATTAGCACAGTTTTACAGGTGTACTTGGAGACTACAAAGCTTTGATTCTTTTCTTTTTTTTTACTCTTCAGAACAACAACTTACAACACGTCATGTTTGATTTCTACTGCGTGTGGCTTTGTGGAGATTATGGTACTGTTGTGTCAATGTGAAGACATCAACATTTCTTTTGAGAGCCACGTGTGCACGAGGTAGTTTGAACTGTAGTGGAGTTTAGGCAATGATGCGCGCGGCATATTCTGAAGCGAAGAGGATGTTTAAACAGAACTGACTGTTTTGTCAGCATACAGCTTCAGTTCATGAAGCCTGTCTAATCATGCACTCCTCTGATTGGGCCCATAGAAGAAATGGCGATTAAACAAAATCGCTGCCGTTATGGCTGTCCCAGAAAGCAACGGACATCAGCCTGTGATTTTGTTTTTGTCATGCTGTTGCTGAAGTGATTTCTTTATATAAACAAGTCACCACTTTTCTACTCCACTCCTTGCTGTTCCTTTTTGTGTCAATGGAATCAAACAAGCACTTTTTTAAAGAAATCACCATTGGAAACAACAACCCATTCAATTTACATATGTGATCATTATGCTAATGATTATTAATATTATTTTAAGAGGAGAAAACTGTGAACGGGTTGGGAGGGAGGTAGGGAGGGAGGAAGGAAGGGGAGGGATGGGTTATTGTTTATTTGGGGTTTGATAGGGGTTGACTTGGCATGACCATGGGCATTCAGATGTATTTTGTTTCTTTTTCTCCAGGCTAGAAGAGAGGGTGTGGGCTGGGGGATTTTTTTTTATTATGGTTTTGTCAGGTGATACTGTAAAAAGATGATTTGCCATAATTTTGTTATACAATATTTTGAGAGTACCTCTTTGTATTTAAGTGTTTTGAGAGATGGGCTGACATGCTGGAACCCTTATCTTTAGTCCCTTGGGTATGTTGGATACATACTAAAACCCTTTTATTTATTCTCCACAACAGAACTCAGTAGCAGATATTTTTTGGCAAGTAATCACCAGATCTGCATCCCCTACCCCATTCACTCCTCTTTCTTAATGATTTTTTAACCCCAGTTTCAAAAACCTGCTTCAGTAATGCAGATGAACAGTAAATGAATACCCACCCACCTTCCCAACAATGCAGCCCTGCACTCCCACAGATAAACAATGGCCTTCTTTGTCTTCCGTGGTTCAAGCCATTCTATCCTGGCTGCCAGGGTTGATATTTAATTTAGCTGATTTCCTGTGAGCCAACCCCAAAGCCAAGAGACTGTGAAGCTGCTCAGATCACGGGGAACAAAAACTGACTGACCAGCAACTTCACTCCAAACACACACTATGCTTTTAAAGGAGAGAAAAAGAAAAAGCAATGAGATGAAGGGTGGGGGGGGGAAAGACAATAAAATTGACCTAAATATACCTCATATCACTAAAGCGTAACAAAGCAGGGACATGTGTTTCATGTATGTAGTGGAAATATTTGTAGTATAGGTTTGACATATTGTATAATCATTTAACACTGCCCGTGTTTACAATATAGGTTAAATGAGTTGTCAAAATGCAATTGTATTATTTCTTTTTCTGTAAAAACATCCACACCGAGCAGTGTTGCATTTTAGATGCCTCATAGAACACCCATCTTTCTCATGTTACATCCCTTATTTTTGTTACTTGACATAATGTGTTTTGATATGATCTCTAGAAGGATATTGTTTACAAAAATGTGCAAAAACACTAAAAAAAATTTTTTTAAAGTTTTTCTTGAGTATGCATGATAAAGACATTTTTGTATGGCTTTTTTTCCTCTGTCACCTCAATACCAAAATTTGTAGCGGAAGCCTCCCTATTCCTTTGTCCTTTAATTGTTCTAGACCCCTTGTGATATGATTTCCCAGGCTGTACCTGTTATTGAGATGATGAACGGATTAGAGAAGCCAATAAAAAAAAAAAAACTTTTGTTATAAAAACAGTACATGATTTGTGTGATTACTATCAAAAGCACTGGAAATCACTGAGTACTCAAAACTACACTGAAATCTTGGTACCACTTAAGGCACCTTTTATACTCACTAGCTTTATTAATGCTTTATAGACCGACTATAAGCCGTTAGAGACTTATTTTGAAAAGGTCTGGTTTAGATTTACCTTATGAAAAATGCTCTTAGCTTCACACTTGAATTTTATTACAATAGAAACAAAACTACATTTACCATGGAAAATAAGTCACCCATGGACACTGGGTTGTAGGATGAACAGTTTAACTTGACTGTTTTTTCCATTTACACAGTGGAATTTGTCATTTATGTGTATCGTATTAACCACAAGCACAACTCAAGTTGTTAAGAGACAGTTATAAAAAAAAAAAAAAAAACTAAAAAAATCATTAAATAAATAAATACAGTATGCGCAAATAAACGAGCACTATCTAGTAACTGTTCTAAAACTAAAAATAATTTTGATATTTTGACATATACAATTTATTCACATTCTTGTCAAGTGTGAGATAAGCACATTGATACCAGTTTAATGTCTGTATGTTAATATGACGCTACTGTTAGCAGGCACTTAGCTTAGCTTTGTTTTTTGTAACAGAACCAAATGAGATAATATGTTAATTAGTGAACTTTAGAGGGCACATTTGGTTAGTGTTTGACAGAGCCAGGCTTGCTGTTTCCCTGTTTCCAATTTTTATGCTAAGCTAAACTAACTGACTGGTAGCAGTAGATATAAGATATTTAGAGTTACAGCCATGATGCGTGACTTGATGTACTAACAGTCTACATACACATGGTTCATGGGGTTTTAAAATATATTCCATGTAACAGTTTCAGAGATTATTGTTTATGATAATGATCTATGTATACATTATCCAATTATTTGTTAGAATGTCAGGTATTACTTCAATTCATCCATCCTTCTTATTTTTCTACTTTTGGCTGCTCCCGTTAGGGGTCGCCACAGCGAATCATCAGTTGCCACCCAAGTGTCTAATTTAGAGTCGCCAATCAGCCTAACCTGCATGTCTTTGGAATGTGGGAGGAAACCGGAGCACCCGGGGAAAACCCACGCAGGCACAGGGAGAACATACAAACTCCGCACAGAAAGGCACCAGGTCAGCTGGGGCACAAACCTGGAACCTTCTTGTTGTGAGGCAACAGTGCTAACCACTGCGCCGCTGTGCTGCCCTTTCATTTTTTCCATCCATCCATCATCTATACCGCCTATTACTATTCAGGAGCTAATCCCAGCTGTCACTGGGTTAGAGGCGGGGGACACTCTGGACAGGTCACCCGTCTATCTCTAGAAATTTGGGTGGTCTTGAATTTAGAAATTTGGGCAGATTTGAACTTAGACGTCAGCCTGCTCTGACGTCTGTCTTCATTGCTAGTGTCTCATCTTAATCTCTGAATCTTTTGCTGCGTCTCCTGACTGTCTCTTCACTGTTTCCCTTTGACCTCTTCCTAGATGCTTTCTTTTTTGGCTGAGGGATTGCCTCCTCCTCCTCCTCCTGCTGGTTGACAGCTTCATCTGTCTCCTTTGCAGCACCTGCACTTTCAGCCAGCTCAGTACTGCTGCTACTGTGAGCAAGATCTGTGCCAGTTCTGACTGTGAGCGCTTCAGAGCTATCATCAGCAAGCTCATAACGCTGTCTTGACATTTTGTTGCTTCTCTCATCTTCCACTTGATCAAGTTCTCTTGACCTCTTCCTGGATGGACCGGGCATGCAGTCATCTTCAGGCTCAGCAGTAGTGGCTGCATGTTCAACCGGAATATTTCCAGTATTCTCCTCAGTACTGTCGGTGTCAGTGTCACTATCAGTGTCACTGTCCTCCCACCACCTGAATTTGTTGCTAAATTGTTCATCTAGGCCTTGTTCATCCCCTATGACTCCCTTGCAGAGGCACGGAATGATCCTTTTATAATGGCCAAGTTTCATTTCTTCATGGCTGTCTCCAGAACCTTCTCCACTTTTCTGACTAAATATCAGACAGATGAGCCTGTGTTGCAATTCATTAGCAAAGACCCGGTCATGCTCATGAAGGTAATAACATCCTATTGACCCTTCTATTTGAATTTATTGTCATTAAGACATGTTATTTACATTGACATAATACATGTGTGTTCTCAGAGTTTGCTAAAAAGGTTCATCAAGTCACAACAGAAGTTAATGAAAGTGTCTGAATTCTATTGGTAATTATCAGACACATAAAGCAAGAAAACGATCCAAAGAATGTGGACATTGGCTTAGGAGCAGAAGCAGTTATAAAGGTATTGTGTCAAATAGCAAATAACAGTTATGATAGAGGAATTTGCATAAAACATAAGTCTGTTTCACTGTCCCTTCCTGTTAGGAACTCCAGAGCTCCAGAGTAGCAGCAGAGTAGGTGAGCTCAGTGTGTTGGAGTTTAGAAAGGACTGCATGGACTGTTTGACTAACATCATCCAGAAAATGCAAGATAAGAGCCCACTGAAGTACACGGTTGTGAGGCAGGTGGCATGTTTGGACCCAGCAAACATGTTCTCAGACCCTAATTTGTGCCAGGAAAGAATGAAGCGACTTGTACATAGGTTTCTGCAAGACCACCAGCTGCCAGGAGGCATCTCTGCTGGTATTTAAGTTTTTAGAAATCTAGGGAAATGTACATGGTCACATTTATCTGAAGCTTGCTTTCACACAATTTAGTAGCAATTGGTTTTCTGTTTTTTTCCATGGTGTTAATTGTGGTGTTTTGTCTTAATCTGTTTTACAACAGGTGATGTAATTGTCCAGCAGTTTGGAAACTTTTTGTCTCTGGAGGCAAAATCTGAGTCATTGTCTTTGTTCCAACCCATGAAGACAAGGCTGGATGTTTTCCTGCATGGTCTCCTCTGTCAGTCTTACCCTGAGCTCTGGACTTTCTGCAAGAAACTACTGCTCCTCTCCCATGGCCAAGCAACAGTGGAGAGGGGTTTTTCTGTGAACAAGGAGGTAGAGGCTGATAATATGCAGGAGGACACAGTTGATGCTCAGAGGATGATATGTGACTATGTTTCTGTCTGTGGGGGGGTTCTAAAAGTTCCTCTGACGAAGGAGATCCTGGCAGCTGCAGCTTCTGCAAGATCTCAGTATCGGCTACACCTGGATCAGGAAAAGAGAAAGCAGGAGAGCAATGCACAAAGAGAAAAGAGAAAAGCTGCAGAGGACCTCCTTGAGCAGCTCAAAAAGAGGAAGATGGTACTAGCTGAGGTGGCAAACAGCCTTGATAAAGAAGCAGACAAACTGACAGAGCAAGCTGAGGGTAAATCAGGTTCACTCATGGCCCAGCTAATCACCAAGTCAAATGTTCTGAGGAAGCGATTCAAAAAAAAGGTAGCAGAACTACAAGAGGTTGAGACAGAGCTTGGAAATAAATCCATTGAACTCAGGCATATGCCATAATGTCATATGGTATAATAATTTCTGTTCCACATTTCACATGAAAACTGTTCATTCACATTGTTGTAAGTCAACATAGTAGTAGTAGTAGCAGTAGACTTATAATAGAAACCTGTTATTGTGCGCTGGTTAGGAGTTGTACACTGGCTTCTTTGCAGATAACCAGCTGTTGAAATTGTTGTATTTGATTTCTGCATTTTGTCTGAACAGCTTTTTGTAATAAATTGCATTTGTTACTGCCAGATTTTGTGATTTGTGTGTGTGTATGTGTATATACACTGCTCAAAAAAATAAAGGGAACACAAAAATAAGACATCCTAGATCTAAATGAATTAAATATTTTTATTAAATACCTTGTTCATTACATAGTTGAATGTGCTGACAACAAAATCACACAGAAATTATCAATGGAAATCAAATTTAGCAACCCATGGAGGTCTGGATTTGGAGTGACACCCAAAATTAAAGTGGAAAACAACACTACAGGCTGATCCAACTTTGATGTAATGTCCTCAAAACAAGTCAAAATGAGGTTCAGTAGTGTGTGTGGCCTCCACGTGCCCGTATGACCTCCCTACAAAGCCTGGGCATGCTCCTGATGAGGTGGCGGATGGTCTCCTGAGGGATCTCCTCCCACACCTGGACTAAAGCATCCCCCAACTCCTGGACAGTCTGTGGTGCAACGTGGCGTTGGTG